AAAAACGTGAACGGGAAGAAACGGGGACGGAAGTATGGTTTTGGTAGGCGCTGATTTATGGGGACTTTGCATGTATGTATCTAGTCCTGAGCAATAGGATTGGCATTGAGTGGGTGGAGATTGGGTTTCAGTTGATTGACAGAGCAGGTCGCCAGGAATGTCTACGGCATAATCATGGTTATAGTTAAATTTCCTTTTATGGTGTAATTCAATCAAGTATTTCTCCATGATCATAAAATATACAGTCCTAATACATTTACAAAACCCAAGAGAGTACATGAATTCTGAGAAACCGACTTCTTGTTTCAATTCACATATTGCCTACATGTCAAAATCCTAGCCAAATCCGTACCTCGGGAACATGTGTGTGACCAGTCTCACAGGAGCTCATTACAAACCATTTCCCCCTCCATGATGCACGTACTGACGTCATAGATGTCCTATTTATGATATCGTTCGCGTCTGATGTCATGGATGTCGAGTCGTCTCATCCGATATAAAATCACATCTTGAGGACTAATTATTCACCCTGCGGGGGGCTTCTGGCGACGATCTCTAGATGCAAACAACGTGATGTAACATGTTTTTTTATCAATCTGAATGACTTCTCTTCTGCATTCATGAAAATCAGTTATACTGCAACATTCCATGGATATCAAAGGCATCCAATGCAATTTCAGGGCGGCAAAACTGAAAATAATATGAATAATCTGTAGGATATAGACACATTTGAATCACTTTTGAATCCGTCTTTCATACTTTAGGCATTTAGAACTGCAAAAACAAGCCCCAAAATGAGTCCTTTATTTTCTGGGTGGTAGCCTAAAATCAATCCAGGTGCTTCCAGTGACCATTTTTCGTCAGAATTTTGGGCACTTTTGCTTCATGAATGTCAATATACATTGGGACAGTGTTGTTTCAACTTAGTATGTAGATAAGTGACTGGAATATTGACTTTGAAAAATCTGGTTTCTAAGCCCTAAAAACTGGATGCCTTAAGTCGTATATGCATTCTATTTTCCTGTCTGGAATTATCATTGTCAGTAATGATTGATGGTTTTAAGATGACGCATGTTACGGCGCCTTAGCTGCTATTAGATGAAGTGTCTAATTAACATTGATTAATGTCAGTATATCATTTACTGAGTCATTAATATCCTAACAGTATGATATTCATTTGAAGCAGTGTTCAGGAGTGATGACAGGATCAGTCAGGCCCCAAAGGTTGAGTTTTCTGTTTCCCAACCCTAGAAAAAAAACAATCGCCGACCCTAACCTATTTTTGGTCCGTCGCTGGTAAAGCTATAGAATATACGATCTGACGTCTGAATTTTTAAACCTTATGAAACTTTGTGTCACGCATTTTTTCAGAAGCCATTGTTTTATTGCGCAACTCAGTAAAAGTATCTGTCCTTCTACGTGTTAACACAGGGATGTGTGCAACATGCAGACCTGGTGCATTGTTTTTTGCAGCCCTCGTGCAACTGTATTTGTTGCACAGAAAGAAAACAAACAAGCAAACAAAGAAACAAACAAAATATTCTCTCTATCGGCCCTATGTTTTCTGGACTAAAACACAACATTAATTTTCCTAGGACGTATTATAAATATTGGATGCTGGTAACCTTGTGAGTTAATCTCTAAGATGAGGCAATCTTGGTACGTCTTATGTTCATATCTAAGGAGCGTATGTGTCTGTTAGGTGAAGATTGGGGTTGAAATAATCTTAGTGATTTTAATAACATCCTCATGATTTAACAACGGAATTGACTGTTCTGAGCTAAAGTGCTTGTTTAAGGTGCAGTAGAAGAGAATTTTAAAACAGAAGCATCATATCGTATGAATACCTGTTCCTTTCCGTAGTTTGTAATATAAAGAAATCTATCTTTGAATAAGGATATCTATTCCCCATAAACAATGTTGTATATAGATGTATACAGATGAACATATTCTATTTTTGCATTTTGTAGTTGAAAAACAGATTTTTGTTAATAAGCTGACATTTTTAATTTCCAAAATTCATGTCGTGTATCGCTGAGACGCTGCAAAGACTATTTGCAACATAGTCACAGTCACGACTATATTATTGAATATAATTGAGGCGTGTGGGTTTGGCATATGTTGTAAAGTCACAGCTGTGACTCTCGATTACGACGTCTATGGGTGTTGTCAGCACATGAAAGGTTCGGCAGGAGGCCGCAAATGAAATAACTGCTTTCCCTCTCCACAAGCTCGAAACATACAATAAACCTGTCAACTTACTGGGATCTCTTATGCCATCCATCAAACGCTGTCTGATCTGGTTTGTGAACAACGAGATGGAAGGGCAGCCATGCATGGCAAAACCGCCGCATGTCTACAATTCCACACCCATATAAGAACACGATGGTTGGACAGCTTAGGGACACGAATGAGGCGAATTCGTCACTTCTAAGCCGAAGCCACTCAGTCCTGTCAGCAGCAAGGACCGGTGAAGAGCTAGCGACAACTGAAGTGCAGACTGGGGGAAATGTGCACTTTACACTACATGCCATCAACTGTACCAGAAATATATATCAGAATGCAGTTCAGGACTGTTTTTTTGTGACTGTTCCAATCACACATTGTAACGTAACGAGGTGTGCATAATCATAAACTCTTGACTTTGGAATTGTCTGATGCACATTTCTATGTTGTACTTTTACCTTGCGTCGGCGTGAATACAAAATTTCGTTCTAGTTCAATAAAGATGATCCTACCCATTCCCTTAATATCTTGCGGTAGGGCTTAATCAGGTGCTGTGCCACCGTCTGTCTATGATTGTGCAATATCTCTGGTATCCTAGACACGTATAAATCATAGTATCCCCCTTTTTTACACGCAAATATTGGGGATTCAACAAAGTCTTCCAGGACGTTGCTGACTCTTGCATTGATATCGATATTTTTGCTGCTAAATGGCAATCAAACGCGGTAGCACTGGCCTTGTGCTCCTGGTGAATTAGCCAGCAATAGATGCTACACACCAATAAACTGACTTCCAATTTTCGTTCTTGCTTGTGTGTCCGAATATATTCCATATAAAGTTCCGCTTTAATGGCTTTATATATTAACCAGACCTAGGCATGCTTTATGTCTTGTCACAAATTTGTCCTGAATAGGACTACAGTATATCAGGGAATATTAATAGTGTATATGTCATCTACATGCGTGTATGCCTGCTTTGCGTTGAAAATGACTATATTTTTATATTCTTTATTTTTTCTATTCTTTTTTAATTTCTTCTATTCTTCTATTTCTATATTTCCATATTTTTATATTTCTAATTTTTAAGAATTTCTTATTGATACTATTTACATTTTTACATATTCTTTATTTTAATATTTTTCATAGTTTGATATTTCTAATATTTTTATTATAATTTTTATTTAATGTTAATATTTTTTAAATTATTTTGATATATTTCTATTTCTTTTAATCATAATATACATTCTTATATTTTATATATTCCATATTTCTTATATTTTTATATTTTCAGTTTTATATTTTAATGTTTCTATTCTAATTTTATATATTTATATTTTTAATAAGATCTCATCTGAGCTAATTTTAATGAGTGGCTTCCAGTTGTTGTAAACAAGAGGACTCTAGTAATACATGTGATATTTGACACAAAGATATTCTGATGAACCAGCTAGGCCTTTGAAATTTATCAACCTACACTTTTCTACACGTCTTCACATTTCATTTACTATTGAGTTATACATATATCAGTGATACCCCGTTTAGGGGTGGTTAGAGGGTAGACAAAAAGAAGAAGAAGAGTTGCCTGGGTGCTCCTCATATGGGTCCTTAACAATCGACCTAGCGGCGGTTTCAGATAAAAAAATCATGGCACTTGAAGCCATTCATGTTTCCCGCTTTGAGAATTTTCACGAGGTTATTCCTCCCCTCACGCAATCCCCTTTGGAGATGATTGGACGTTTCGCCGCTAAAATTGCCACTGAACACGGCATTACAGGACAATGGCCTTTCCATGTTACACCTTACACGATTCCGTGACTGAAAAATGCACCCATTAATCCAATGCCATCGCGTGTAAATCATTTTGGCATGGCTCAAGGTGAATTCAGTATTGCAGTATTGCTTATACCAAGGTTCACACAATAAATACAGCATATATATATGTTACAAATTCAAATAAATGATCTTATAATCATAATTTCATAGTTTATAAGTTTACAATCTATCTTCGTCCCATCTTCCCAACATTGTAAGATATAAAATATATCAAGTTGAAAACCTTTGGGACGAATTGTCCTTGCCCTAGATACATGAATCTCCTCCTTAAGTGGAAAACTGGTCGATTTCTGTCAATCCAAAAAAGAGTACTGTCTATGGCGGCCTATCTACCTTAGGTAAGACTCGTGCAAGTTCGGCATGAGTAGCTATTCGCATTGCAAATAGAGAGATTTAGTTTTGTTGTGCCCGGAAGGAAATCATCAGTTTGAGTTTTATGATGCAGTGTCCAAACCGAGTGGCAAAATCACATTACGCACCATTGACACCATGTTTAATATTTAATATCTGGACCGGGTGACGTTTTCCCGGAACGTTTTTCCGGAACATCGTTACGGTGTGCATGAACACGGACCGGTGGTCATGTTGTGCTCAATAATCATTCCTACTGCTTACGATACACGTACATACTATATCTGTGGGATTGTAATTCATGTACATGTATGCGATAATGAATTACACTGTGTTTTTCACCATAACAGTTCTGTCTTTTTTGTGATAATAACATGATAATGATTAAAGAAAATGTAAACAGTGGAAACATCCAAAAGGGTGCTAGCAATGACTAACACAAAAACCTAGTTTTATCAGAAATGCTGTAGTATCCAGTAGCTGTACGATCGATAAGTTGGGCTACACCGTGAAATTTCGCGATGTTCTCATTTTAATCACCGTCCGTGAATGGACAGTGGTAAGGGATGGTGTATGGAGATCAGGGCTCACCTCACTGTCGTTGTGAATCATGTTGAGATGGTATCCTGGGAGTATATCCTCCCGGTTGTTGACGTCCTCCAGGGCCATGAGCGCGGCGGGTAGGCACGCCTGGCCGCCCGACCACCCCCCGCCCGTCATCGGGAAGATCCCGCCGATGTACAGCTCCGTCTTCCCGGGCTTGCTGGCGTCGGTCCCCGGCAACAGTCCTCTCCCGCACGCTAACCAGATCAGCACCATGGACAGCCTCAACATCTTCGTGGCTAGCTATATATACATATAACACATACAAAGCTCTCTGAAAGCAAGATATGCTCGAACTAAAGAAACACAAAATACAGCGGCTTTATATAGCTAGCTGTAGGTCCTATAAATAATCTCCGTTACATGACAGCGGTGGGAAGTCCTTTGACTACCGATCGCCGTGCACCGTCCGTAGTTTCTGCAGATTTCATGTGCACTCCCCCAGAACTGGCTACGTCACTCTGTCGTCACATCGAGAGATGCTTGACATACATAAAAATCTGGCGTGCAGACTCGTCTCTAATAAGCGGGGCTTTGTATACTAAGAAGACAAAGATGAATGTGAGATTGTTGAAGACGGTATACCTTTGGAATTTTTGACCTGCAACTGACTGCTACTTCGACAGTTGGCCCTGCAGGGTGAATAAGCAGAGAAGAAGCTGTCGAAGTGGAGATATAATTAATACGATGGCCAATCACCAAGGCAGTTGGATTGTTCCCGCATGGTTTGGGGCCCTAATGAGCTAACTGCAGTTTTGGATAACAGGTGGGATAATTGATCCGTGGGGACTCCTGAGACATGAAGCGGTGTTGACGCTTCTCATGCATACAGCATGCAGGGAATCAGCAAGTTTAACCATCAAGCTTACTTAGTGAAAAATATCAGCCTTTAGATGAAAATTGAAGTCTCCTGTGGGACAGCTTAATCCTAAAAATCTAGAAATCTTTAAAAAACCCGGATCTTTACATAGCTAAACCAAATGTAGATGAAGAAAGACAAGAAGGCGTGTCTTCGTATCAAAGCAGCACACTTGTGTAGATTACAAAATGGCGGCGGCAAAAAGTCGTGTTAGAGTGAAGAGTTGCGCCTACGCCTGAAGGGGACAAACCAGTCAACGGTGAAATAGGGGTGCCTCCCGAGCCATTTTATCCGGGGGAGCTTATAAATCTCTGTCTCTCACATATAATGGCGGCACGGGATGGATGTTGTAAATCAGAATACGTGTGACAGTTCTCTTAGTTTTCTGACGTAAAAAATCTAGGGCCATTCAGATATATGGGGCCTGCTCACGAACATTTTGTGGACAAAACTTCGATGGCTTTTTTATGCCGTGTAGTTTGATTTATGACTGATATTTCATGGCCACGCTTTTTATTCTCTATGTTTTACGATACAGTTTTGTTTTAATGGTTTGGTCCTTTGTAAAAATGAACTAGTTGTGTCACCTTTTGTTATAATGCATAGTCTATTCTGCATTGAGGACGCATTTTCTAAAGAAGCTGTGAAATGTATATTTAGACGTAAATGTAGCAGACTAGCTGGAGCTTTTCTTTTTGTCATAAGTTTGTTTTAATCCTAATAGTAAGGGTAAATAATTCGTTTTGGTCCCAATATAAAGTAAACTTATTATGTATGATAAATAATATTGTAATATATATTAAGATCATATCCAATATTTTGGCCAGAAGGAAGTCCCGGGTCAATAAATAGATAAGACTTGTCTGCGAGGGAGTTAAGTCGTGGGTACTAGTTGATTTCTGGAAAGCTTTCGACTTTAGAAGCACCTCAACGTAACATAGTTACCCTTTGTTATGTAGCGCACTGTCCAATGATAGCTCCATGATCTCATGTAAGGCTATTCTGAAGGGTTTCGTGTCAGATCAACATTCAATTTGTAAAATAGGTCACAGCTATGAAATATTAAGTGAAAGATAAAACCACAGCCTAACAGAAAGGAAAAACCACGCAGACCAGTGAACATAGCCTAATGTTGCCAATTCCGAAATCACGGAAGGATCGACCCACTCATTTATTGTATTGGGTAAAATTTGGGTTGTAGCCAGACATCACTGACGCACGACGCCACATAGCGACCTTTGAACAAAATGCATAACAAAGTTATTGTCATCACATCAATTCCATAGATGCTACAGTTGTTTGTAGACATTATGCAGTGAAAAGCAATATCTGTCAAAGTGTTAAATGTGTACGTGGTATGCATATGGTAGACTAAGAAAACGTGGTCATTTGAAGTGGTTGCAGTACTTTGGGTGGTGATAGAGGGCATAGCTAAGTTCAGTAGGAAGTCAGGAAGAGAACACTGTTTCACGGCTACGGATTTGTTATGGGATGCTGATACGTTGCAATTGGCCACCATGACTGCCTGTATGCACCTGCGCCTCCTAGCGTTACTCTAGAAAATGAAAATCAGACTGTGAGCGGGACAGAGAAACAGGGAGAGACAGACAGACACATGCATGGATATAGAAAATCATAGTTACCACCACAAAATGGGGGTAACTAAAAAAATATAGTGCACCAGTACAGTTACCTGTACAATTGCAATAATTCAGTCTTTTATAGACACGTACATAAAATCTCTAGACTGTTTTCAATATCGATTCACATATTTTCGTCGTCTCCTAATAAACGCGACAACATTTGAGGATTCAGGACGGACTTGTGATCTCAGCGGATTCCTTCCCTGTGTTTATTTCCCTTTTCTATGTTTATGCTAGGGTCTAGGGTAGCAGATACGATATCAAGAGGCTAGGGGTTCGATTCCTGGCTAGACGTTATGTCCTTAGGAATCTTACTCGACTTTCCTCACTCGGCCCACGTACAATAGGCGGTGGATGAGCTCTGCCTTCCAATACCATACCCTGGTTACATTGAACTAACAACCCACTGCCGTTAGGGCCCGACTACATTTACCTTTGTTACCATTTGCTTCCATCGTTTTTTGAGTGAACGTCCGTGACCAAATTCATTGGCTGATACGCCAGCTGTCCTCGTTTCCGCCCTATATAGCTCTCAATATTCTGTCCATGTGGGGAGGGGGGCAACAGTGAAACAGGCATATTTTGTTGGGCAATAAGAGCTTGAATAAACCATTAAACTACATGATATCGTGTTCTTTTGATGTGCTGGGATCTCGCCAATGATTTTGCTGATTCCTATAGCCTTGGTGACTGGCTTAGTCTCTAGTAAAAAATTATAGACCTCTAAAACACGACAGTGGGTGACCTTTCACCTTTTGTCTTTCACAAGACCAGCTGAGTCTGACTTTCAACCACACAGCCCAAACACTGTTTTAAGTTGTGATTACCTTTACTCGTTTCTAATAATATCTATTAGGATGTTTACATTGTCAGTCACTTGTTTTATGCACACGGATTTACAGTTAGTGTCACCTATATGAAGGTCAAAGTTCAAGGACTTCCAGCTCAAACTCGTGTTGTTATTTTCTTACGAAATAACCATATGTCTGTTAGGAGAGGTTGCTATTGATCTGTTAACTATTTTGTTTAGTCAACAGAAAACTCCCAGTTGTTAACCGTTGTACCGACGAAGGTCAGGGGTCGTTGGTCTTGGGTTGGAAGCTTTTTAATTTTGTTTATATTTATTCTAACATGCAATCACAAGACGTGGTGACGGCACACTCATTTTTTTAAAAATTTATATTAATGCCACCACCAACACGGGACAATACAATACTCATTTTCATCTGAGCGAAGTGAGGAAAGTCGTGTAAAGTGCCTTTCCCAAGGGCACAAAATCGGTGCCATGTCAGGACTCGAACCCGGGACCTCGAGCACTCTGCCTCTACGCCCACTTGTTGGAAGCTTTGTGTGGCCTTTTAAAATGTAAAGTTCCCATCAGAGATATTTACAGTTTTGAACTAATGTCGTTACTGAGTTGCTTTGTGGACCAATTTGAAAAGGTTCCCCGGACGATGATTGAGTTATACCAATTGGTGACTATGACGAACTTCCGTGACAACTTGTTTAAATCGGAACCAATTGCACCAAAATTGAATTACTTGTACATTGTATGTGTAGTAAATGTAATCATGATTTTAATTTTTGCTGGTCTAGTTGAATATTAATCTATTCATGAGAAGCGTAAAGGGGTCACAATGACCTGTTTAGATGCCCAGACTAGCTTGATGTCTGGGAAAACAAATGTCACTTTCGTAGTCCTTGTAGGGCGATAATAAGGGAGGGAGCAGCAACATATCTTTCTGATGGAATCTATGGTTAAACCATGAAAAACAAATTTACCTATTATTCAAACCTCAACTCTTTAACACTGCAAATCTGGATTTGTCAGGTTTCTTTGGATACTAAAACGGAAGGTCAACTCTGGCATCTTAAAGAGTTACCAAGAAAAACAAAATTACCTTTTATCCTAACCTCAAGTCTTTCACACTGCAAACCTGGATTTGTCAGTTTTCTTTGGATAGTAGAAATGGAAGGTCAACTCCGGCATTTCAAAGACAACATGAAAACAAATTTACTTTTTATTCAAACCTCAACTCTTTTACACTGCAAATCTGAATTTGTCAGGTTTCTTTTGGATACTAAAACTCTGCCATTTTAAACAGCTACAACCAACATATTGAATTGATACCAGCCAGTGTGGTCCAGCCAGAGAAGTTAGTAGGGGTCAAGTACAGGACAAATCATGCGAAAGATTACAAATTTTGGACAGCTTTTAAAAAGATACATTCTCATGTCATAGAAGGAGCTACGTAAAATTGCCAAAGAAAAAAGTTTATAAGAATAGTGTACAAAGTAGGCGTTTTTCGCATGTCCCATATTTATCCCCTAATAATTGGCAAGGAGGGCAGGAACCAAACATTGTTAACCTTTTAATTCACAGTGACATCATTTAGAAAAATTGTGTTACCGTTTTTCATTAAGTGAACACGGCGAGACAAAACAGGTAACCTTGGCTGGCACAATTTAGATAAAGCGAAGCGAAGGCAACTAGCTTCACGCAGTTATACACGGTGTCCGTACAAAGAGATCAGCTATGCGGACAACACTTGGGACTGTTGCGTTTATCGTTGTGATGGTGATTGGGGAGACAATGTCGGCTCCAGCCCCTACTAAAGTTGATACGGATGCGTCCCTGAAACTACTTGAAGGTTTGTATTTGTGAATCTTTGTGTATCTGGAATCCCAGGCAACATAGACGAAATGAGGTGGAGGGCTAATACAGAAAGTATTTCAATAAAATTAATGGTCACCCAAAGCGAATTCAGGACAGTAGTACCGGATTTTTAAAGCTGATTTTCAAATAAATGGTAAAGTTGTCATCTCTAACATAGACTGCAAGTAGGAATACATTTATGGAGGTTGCTCCCTTGTATAGGTATCACTTCAGGGTCAGCCAGAAACATGGAGGTATTATGAAAGATGTTATGTCATCCACCTCACCACTAAAATTCTTCTTTGAACAGAAATGAAATTGCAAATATGTGCTAATAATAGCCTATTAATGTATTTTGTACGACTTAAGTGTAAAAATATGTGAATAGATTTATTAGAACTTATATATAGAGAATATATAGAACTTGAAATATGTAAACTGTACCTTCACTTTTTCCCTCGAGCTCGGTGAAAAGTGGTCTGTAGGCTGGGCTTTGAATTCCTCGTGAATAAACAATAAAACGAACAAACGTGTCCAGTCAATGTAATATGTTCCTCGAATCACGACTGAAGGATCATTCCTGAACCGGTTAGTTGCAATTTTTACGTTTTTACGGCGCTCGCATATGTACACTTCAGTTGTGGCATTCAGAATGCAAGTTTAGGACGGCCAAACTGGATTTTCAAAGTCAAGTTTCTGGTCATTCTTTTCATGTAGCTAGTTGAATCAATCCTATCCCATAGCATACTAATACTTGTGAGGCAAAAATGTAATGTCACTGACGGAAAACGGTTGCTCGTTTTGTATAGCAATGGCTTGTTCTAGGCTATTTCTAACGCTTCGAGTATGAATTGATGCCGAAAAAAATTGCTAAGAAGTAGAAGTAAATGTCAATATCAGATTTGTTGATCTACAATATATTTTTTTCCACAAAACTGTATTGGATATGTTCAAGACAAGTTAAAGCGCCTCGAGTACAAGTTCTCCAAGCAGTACATAGTGGTGGAGGATCTGAGGACGTCCATGGTGCAGCTGAAGGACGCTCTGGCTAAGTCCGTCAGTTCAGCGGTGGAAGAAGGTAAGCTGTTGTATCCAGAACCTTGCTTTTATCCAGAACCATGTTCAGGCACGGGTCTGGAGAGTCCACGCGCACACAGAAACGTGCTTCGTGTATTTTCCTGTTTTCACTGAAAATTTTGACATATTGTATCTGTGATTGAATGAGTTGGATATACGCGTGGACTATCCCAAATATTGCCTCAGCGCTGGTTCTGGATAAAGTACGGTTCTGGATACAACAGCATTTCGACGTTGAACTCCTGACTTTTCAGGGTGTCCCTTAGTAAAAGTCTTTGACAAGTTGGGACACCCTGGCTTATCTGTAAGCCGAAATAAATAAATAAATGATAAATAGATAACTTTTTAGTGAGATACGACAGCGATATCGGTGGTAAAATGTATCGTATGTGCATCGTATGGTGTATGTACCAATGACTTGGTAACAATTTGCATTTTTCATTGGCCAACATAGATCGATCATATGGGCGTATGTAAAAATAGAATAACAATAGTGCAAAAGTGAAGCGTGTATCGCCTGAAAAATTACTTTCAGACACATACAGAAACTGAATTCTTGCGTTTTGGGTGTTTTAAACGACTGTATTATGATTTTCGTCAGAATTCGTCATTCAATTCAATCCTACATTATTCCTTAGTTAGCTCGTACTTTGTCTCACAGAAAAATACGCCGACTTGGCGGCCATGGTTAAACTAAACACACATAACATCCAAAACCTGAGCAGCATCGTCGCAACAGCACTGGCAGCGAACAACAAACCCGCCGTGCAGACATCACTGTCAACACAAGTAGAAGTCCAAGCACGACCACTTCAAACAAAGCCCGGTGAAGGTATCTGCCTCAACTATTTGATGAATGATATACAATAAGGTACACATAAGTTAACATAAACAAAAGATAAATTATGGATACCTTAACAATTCTAAAAGGAATGAGCCACAAATAAAAATATAAAAGTCTAATATGATTCAATCCTTGATATTATCTCACATAAGATTAAAGTTGCAAAAAATATCTTATTTGGGGTTTAAGAATAATTTATGGCTATCCTTCCTCCCCTCTGTTAAATAAGAAGTTCCAAACCAGGGATATATCAGTATTTTGTAACGCAAAGATACGTTTTTTTTTATTTTGGAATGATCGCACTATTAATTGTACAGTAATATACGTAAACATGTAAACAAATATTTCTCCCCTACAGAATGCCACATGTATCACTGTTTCAAACTCCACGTGAGGGCCACTGGTCGTAATAACGCAGAACAAACTTGCCGAGGGGAGGGAGGGCATCTTGTCATGGCAAAAACCAGAGAACTCTACGAGTAAGATGATTCCCTTATATACTAGTAGTTCGTCTGACGTTTTGTTTTGGTTGCGTTCTTATAGGTCTGTGGTATCGCAAACAAATGTTGAATTCGTTGACACTTCAAACTTGTACCATATAGTGGCTTCTACAAATAAAGATGACCTTTGAAGATAACCATTCTCTATGTTAATTTCAGTTTTGTTGTTCAAATGAAGAACCGACATCACCGCGATGCTCAGTTCTGGTGAGTAGGACTTTTTTTATCACTTTCATGTAAATATATTGTTTATGTAAATAATTCATTTTGAAATAAAGACTAAGCTTTCTTTCCAACACTAGAATGAATTAAGGACTTAATTACCTCGAAATTTCGGCTGACTTTCTTCCCATCATTGTCTATAAACTAGCATGTGAAAGTAACAGCAGAGGCAGAAGCAAACACTACAACAGACACTTTGACACCAACAAGAGCGACGAGACATTGTCAGTGAAGACCTATTATTATCGTATATTCAGGTTTGGTGCCAGGTACACGGATGACACGGACTGGGTGTATCCCGATGGAACCTCTGTTGCTGATGCCGTGCCTTGGGCTCAAAATGAGCCCAACGACCAAAACAATTACCATTGCTCCCACATTGGTAAGTGGTTTGGTTTTTCTTTTAATCTGGTATACTCATTTTTACCTGAGCGAAGTGAAGAAAGTCATTTAAAGTACTTGTCCCAAGGGCACAAGGTTGGTTCTGAGCCGAATGCTCTGCCGTTACGCCACACGGCCCTACAGTGGATATCGTATCAAAAGCCTGTTTACATTCTATGCCTGAATGGGTTAGAATCGGGTACGGTTTTGAATAGCATCCGCTTATCCAACAATGTAGATTTGCCCCATGCATGGCTGGACTCTCTAGAACTGTGCCTGCGCATGGGTCTGGACGTCCGGACGCAAAACATGAGAACAATGAATCCTAAAAACAATGAAGCTCTACTTTCCACAGCTGCTTTTTTCCAGACAGTTGTTGCCTGTCTTCTATTACTGTATTGCAATGAGTAGTATACTTGATTGTAAAAGCAATTAGCCTTCGGGCATGATTTTGCAAGTAGAGTTTCTATAATTAACAAGAAGCAAAACCAAACTGGATTTTTTTGTTGCTCTATCTACAGTGTTTGGCGCCAAGGATGATGATTCACGGAGGGACCTGGTGGCAGATGCAGACTGTTATTCCAGATTTATCTTCGTCTGTGAACGGGTCGTGGCGTTAACTACCTGAAAACCCCTCTGTTTAAGCATACATTTCAGCATTCGTAAGGCTTGCTATATTTCAGTCGATTGGTACCTTTACGTATGTTTTTTTTTTGTATATTCTTGAATAACAGATTTCATGCAGTGATCTGTGCATAATTATGCCATATTGATTTCACTATATGGATGGCATCCTCTGGGTACCCCAAAACTTATTGCGATCGACCCTATTTTGGGCCAAAAATGTTGCCTTCATTATAAAATATATCTAAGTTGGCAATGACGATGTACACATAGAGCATATGATATAACAAAAAGTACATACTTAAACATTCTGCTTTGACTTCGATAGATTTGGTGGCGCAAGCAAAATCCACAGCCATCTTCTCTTTCTTTCGACCTCTGTTATCCTCCAAGTACATAAAACAGTATGAGCAAACTTTTTCCTAAAAAAAGGAGACAATTGGTGCATGCGTGGATGTTATCCATATAATCAACTCTATGTGGTCTTAAGCACATGTCTGTTGAGTGCATGGAGAATTAATTACAGAAATTCTATCATTTGAAGAAATCTTTTATTCGTGTGTTGGTCTGATCTTTCTGACCAAAATGTTTATATTACTGTTGAATTTGAGACAATTTGGTTAAGCATACGGTACGGATACACACAAAACCAACATCACGATTAATAAGAACATGTACCATGTACATGTGCTTTAATAGACAAAAACGTACTTAACATACCTCAATACAAAAAGAGCCCTACATATACCTCAACCGCATTACCGTCAGCACGACATTTTAGAGAATGGTGTGTCCTTAAATGGAATGATACCTGAGTGATAACTCAATTTTTAGCCAAATTTGTATTTTGCATTGAGTCCTCTCTTATAATTGTTGTGTCCTATCATTCTATCATTGGGTGCGGAATTCGTCATGCGCTTGCAACATCTTTATTCTTTAAAACGTTGTGTACTTCATTTATATTATATTTTGTATTAATCTATGTATTTTTGTTATGTGTAAGTGGTAGCGTTAAAATACGCCCTTGCTAGCTGAGTGCGCTACCACTTTGTGCTGTATTATGTCTTTCAATGTATGAATAAAAAATGAATTGAAGACTTGCATTTCAGTTGTCTGTTAGCATAATTATTGTTTATTTGTGTCTTTATTTACACTCCAAATTGCCCTAATTGGCCATCAGGGCCGTTTTTCATACAGGCCAGGTTGGGTAATTTTTAAAATGTTGGGTCAAAAAGGATGACTCAAAACAATATCAATGAAACTAACAATAAATAAATACTAAATTAATACATAATAGTAACAAATAATAATCCATCAAGTCATTAGATCCATAATCATTAGGTAAGTGACAGTAGTCTATCAATTTGATAGGTTGTAAGAGAAGACTAAAAAATGATCCTATTATTCCCCCAATGTATCTTCGACGACCTTACATTTAGCTTGCATGAGATAGAAGGAACGAAAATCGTGAAACCAGCTTGGTTCTAGAAAATCAAAGGTAAACATATTTATTTATTTATTTATTCGTTCGGCTGAGAAAAAAAAGAGAAATTGTACAGCCTGGGCAGCCCAACTAGCCAGACGGCTATTATTAAGGGCTTGCCCTGCTGACAAGACAAACATTGACACGCACGATACAACATAGAAAATAATAACCCCACAAAGTGAGAAAACGTACAGTAACAGTTGACAGAAAAAGACAAATGGCATAAAGCCCCTGGCTATGGCCTTCCAATCTCCCTCCAACCAAGGGTTTAGATTTGGAACAAAGTTGGCTGTGGTTGGTTGTTGGTCGGTAAGGTTGGATATTATTAGATCTAGAGTGGACCGGAGGGTACGAAAATGTTGGGGTGTGTTTAGGAGTAAGTAAAGCAGTAATCGGGGTGTGATTGGGAGTCAAATCTAATTAAAACTTTTCAGACTGCTGCCAATGTACCGGCAATCTTGGTTGGTCGGTGGTCGGGGCAAGGTTCTAAATGTGTGATACAGCCTTGAGAGAGAATATTGCTTACACTGCCCCCTCCCCATTCATGGTATCTTTCTTGTCAATAATTTGTTAGAATAACTCATTAATGTTATTTGTCAAATCAAGAGCAATCATAGAGAAATATATCACACTTCCCACCAGACCCACGAGGAGTCTCAGGTCGTACATGCTTACACCTGTCAGATCTAAGACGTCAGCGTTCAGTCACTCCTACATTCCCAGACTTGTAACTATCTGGAATAAGTTAGGTTCTGACCTTCGTGGTACTGGTGTGCGAGCCGCTCATCAGTCTGATATCATAGCATTTAAACATAAACTGGCAAAAGTAGCCTACAACAGATTCAACACTCAATACAGTCTTGATCTGCCATGTACCTGGACCACTTCGTGTGGATGTAGCTCTTGTATTGCCTCAAGACCTCACTAGATATTGTTCCGATATGGTCATCTCTTCCATTCATTGTTGTTACCTTGATTATGTTTATATGATATTTTGTGCCCTACTTGTATTATAGATTGTTGACTGTGTAATGTACATTCTTGTTGTTTTTGTACGTGGGAGGGCAACTAGCAAAGGTGCTTCGCACCTGTTTTGCCCTCCCTTTCACTTTGTGAAAAATTTAAATAAACAAATAAACATTATGTACACTAACACATTTAGCCTACCCTGACACACATGGCGAGTTTCCACGTGCTTTGCTACTATTCATTGGGAACCTGCCCGAGTAATTACAAACGGTAATGAGAGGCTTGGCGTTTTGTTCGTGGGGACTAATTACCACTTAGCCTAGATTACAAACCACGGCAAAGTACTAAATATAAATACCTCACACCGTTACCCAAACGCAGGCAAAAAGTTTTGAGAGAGATAGAGAGAGGGGGAAAGAATAGAAACGCACAGTGTGGTCAACATCATAGAAAGTTTATTGTTGCCATTATCGAAGATCAACAGCAGAACCACAATGTTTGGGAAGACGTGGGTTTGCACACTCGTGGTGACGGCCATGGTGGTCTTGATGGGCACCGAGGGGGTTCGCTACCGCGGGGCTAATTCTAGAGTCAGCCAACGGAAATCTCCAAGTACGAAGGACCTGCCCCAAAGTGGTGAAAATCTCCGAATGCTGGAACAACTGACGGGTAAGCCTCTTGCTGTTTGTATGTGTGTGTGTGTGTGTGTGTGTGTGTGTGTGTGTGTTTGTGTGTGTGTGTGTGTGTGCGCGTGTGTGTGTGTGTGTGTGTGTGATGTCCAGTTTCAGCACGTTAAAACTTTTTATTGATATGTTAGATGTTTGAGTACCATATGTTTGTTTCATAAAACGGAGAGGAAACTCGTAATTTTTTTCTTTCTGTAGCATTTCGAATTCGAAATCTTGAGGACCACAAGAAATATTTTTATTTCACTTTAACCATGAACCGTTTGCCAACGATCATATCTGTTAAAGATCAACATTTCAACTGTACCCATGGCTCTATTTGGAGCAGTGGGTACTACCCAAAATGATCTCAAAAATTAATCTCCAGGAAGATTTTTTATCTTTTGCAGGACCGTATCCAATATGCCACCCGAAGGTCTGACGAAAAAAAGACAAAAAAAGTACCAAAAAATCCCGATAAAAATGCCTAAATTAAGTCAAAATACTATAGGCCTAAACCTCTGACTGGAGTGTACTCAAGAGATACCTGCGTCGGTGCTACATAGAAGCTACTGTATGAGAAATATAAAAAAGACATTGGGCTTATCATCATGTATGCTTTTACACAGCACGAGTTGGAAGGGTAGAGGCCACCGTCGGTCGCATTTCCCGAACCATAGGGCAGATCGGACTGAAGATGAAGGAACTGAATCTCGTGGTGGGTCATTCTTTTCTTCGAGTAGTGCCGGAATGTTGGAGTGCATTTTTATATTGTATGTCGGTGGTCTCCAAAGTAAGCAATGGAGCAACAGACGTAAAAGGGTATATGAAGGAAGTTCCATAGATCTATGAGGCCGTAGAAACGCCCTCTCCTTCCATACCTCCCAAACCGAAGTCAGGTATCCATTTTCCAACAGGCAGGGCCGACTGTGAAGTGCATTTTCCAAATACACAACATTTATTCTGTACCCATCAGCCTAGATTCATAGATTCTGTCTTTTCTGTAAGACTTTAACGTAACGTTTTTGCTAATCCCCTTTCTTCTAATTCTTGTTCAACAGATTTACCGGATCGAAACGCTTTCCGTGACCTTATGGAGAGGTTTGACCGAGTGAGCAACAGAGTAGCGAATTTGGACGAGTGGCGCTCACGTCAAGATCGCGGAGAAAGCAAGTGAGATTGATTTTTCTTTTGTTTCCAATTTATAATTATCCTATACCAGGTGTAAATGTGCTATGAAAACAGTTGGTACATGGTATTTTCATATGAATATTTTTATGTTGAAAGACACGTACAAAATTGCTTCAAGAGAATTGAGAATTAATTGAGAATAAATTAGCATTTAGACGTATTTACAAATAGAGCGTTTTTTTCGAGATGTGAAATAAACACCTAACAATATTTGTCAAATAAAAGGTAGAAGACTATCACACCACGATAAAAACATAATCGTTATTGCGAGGCGATACCAAATGGTCAAGACCACTAAGGTATTATAGTGTATTAGGGGTTTTCCAATAAGTCTACAATATATGGTAACGCGCGAAATGAAAGCAAAACGGGTGATACAAAATCTTCTATTTTTAGCAATGGCGACGCTGTCGGTCAATCGGAAGACGACGCAGATGAAGACCTGTCGATGCGGCGCCCGATGATTCTTCCGTCCGAAGAAGGAGGTGACCGTCTCTTCCCTGCTGATGGACGCCTTAGATCTGCGGATGACGGTGAAGCGCCAGACCGCCCACGTCCCAACACTGGGTCGGGAGGTCTACCCCTACGCGAACGCCTTGGAGCTGGAGACAATGACGGCACCGACGACGTCGACGGGCCACGTCCCAACCGCCCGCGTCTGCGTCCCTACGCTGGGCCGAGGCGTCGTCCCAACCCTGAAGGCGGTGACGATGACGGCGGCGAACAGGAGGGAGAGCTCGAAGAAGCGGAGGAGGGACCAGAGGAGGGAGCAGAGGAGGCAGCAGAGGAGGGAGCAGAGGAGGCAGCTGGGGAGGGAGCAGAGGAGGCAGCAGAGGAGGGAGCAGAGGAGGGAGTAGGGGAGGCAGCAGAGGAGGCACCAGAGGTGCAGGGATACGAAGAGGCAGAGGAAACATTGCGGGAATACATCCAAGAGTTAGGGCGGGCAATGCGTTCTGCCTAATGTCTCACTGTAAAGTGAAACAAGATGAAGAAAGGGTGGGTAAAACATAAACAGCATAGCACCGAAAACAAGCAAAGCAACTTCACAATAATACAAATCTTAGACACCTGCCATTTATAGGAAAGCCCTAGCTATAGTATCCAGAACCGCCCCATGCCTGAATGGGTTTGGGTAAGGATCAAGTACCGTGTGGCTTTGGAATGTCTTCCAAAAATGGTTGTATCCATACCCATGCTTAGGCAGTAACGTAGACTTGCCCCAGGCATTATTCTGGATACACATGGACTATCTAGAACTGTACACGTGACTGAGCATGGTTCTGGATACAATGAAACCCTTTTATTAGAAGACATTTTTCGCCACTTTTAGTTTGTCATTTCTAAGAAAACTGTGTTCTGCTTCTGTTTGATTTTTGTGTCTGAGTACGTGATTGTGATGGAATATGTATAGATTCAAATGTGTTGAAATTTGTGCACGCTTGTAGTTATTTTCCAAAACCTGCCTTTGCTTACTGGAGACAGAGTAAGAAGGGTGAACCTGATATTTTGTTGGCACTGCAAGGAATAAAATTCATGCATGCATGAGACGAGAGTGATGTCCTATCTTTTTGAGAGACATTAGTGGGGTCAAGCACCTATGCTATTGATGTTGCATGTTATTCAAAGTTTAAGCATAAAGCGTAAAGGTTCCTACATTTCAGTCGATTGAAAAGTGGCACCTCTACACACGCTTTAATGTATGCTAAATATCGAATTTAAACTAAGAACAGTCAGTATACATTACTATAATATGGCGAAATTATATATATATATATATTATATATATATATA